GAACCGTAGGCATGCACATGCTCAGTTTGGTGTAGCTTGCTAGAGAGGTTTTTTTTTCTTGGGAGAGTGCATGTGATCAGCACAGGGCCAATCAGCACTGTTCAGACAGAGGACAGGGGATTTTCATCCTCCTAGAACAGAAAGAAAACTCCTCCTACAAGCTTTAGCTAGTGCTGGGCTAGACACTGATAGAAGTCACAAGACTGCTCTAATTGCTGATGAGAAAATGTATTTAGCAGTTTATATTTACTAAAATAATTGCACTTCCATGTTGTGCGTACTGTGGGAGACCAGATATAGTGAATGCGGGGTCCGGGGTTTAGAAACACTTTAAACACTTGCCTACCAGCCACTTTTACCTCCACACTCACTTTAATAAAAACATTTTTAAAAATGCTGAGAGTGAACTGCTTACCACAATTTGGAGCCCTCTGCAATGCTTCGGTTGCACAGCAAGGTTGGCTATTATCCAGTCTTAACCACTTGCCTACCGGGCACTTTCACCTGCTTCGTGCCCAGGCAATTTTCAGCTTTCAGCATTGACGCACTTTGAATGTCATGCAACACTGTGCCCATATGAAGTTTTTATAATTTTTTTCAAACAAATGGAGCTTTCTTTTGGTGGTATTTAATCGCTACTGGGGGTTTTATTTTTTGCACTATAAACAAAAAAAGAGCAAAACATTTGAAAAAAAAAGTTTTTCTTTGTAATTTTTCTCCTTCACTGATGTGCGTTGATAAGGCTGCACTGATAGGCAACACTGATGGGCACTGATAGGCAGCACTGATGGCCACTGATGAGGTGGTATGGAAAGGCAGCACTGATGGGCAATGATGAGGTGGCACAGATAGGCAGCACTGATGGGCACTGATGAGGTGGCAGTGGTGGGCATTGATCAGGAGGCACTGATGATGCTACACTGATATGCAGCAATGATGGGCACTGATAGGTGGCACTGATGGGTGACACTGATGGGCGGCGCTGACTGACAGCACTGACTGGCAGCACTGATGGGTGGCACTGCTGGGCGGCACTGATGGGTGGCACTGCTGGGCACTGGTGGGAGGCACTGCTGGGTGGCACTGCTGGGCGGCACTGCTGGGCACTGTGATAGTTGGCGGTTATCAGCAGTACTTTCCTCATGATGTGACAGGTAGGGCGCGTTCTGGGAGGACATCATTTGACTCCCTCTCAGAACTGGATAACCAGGTTTGGGGTGCCATTAATAATCACCAAACAGCCAATATAAATGGAGCATGTTTAGCTATCCATCGTGAATAATTTTTTCAGGGAATGGGCTAATGTGAACTAAAAATCTGAACCAGTCTCCCCCTTTTTTTTGGCACTATTATTGTAATACCATTTCCTCATCTGGAAATCCCTTTTACCGTAACCTGCAAAAGTTTAATTTACCAAAAAAAAAAGGTTATGCAAAAAAAAAAAAAAAAAAAACTGGTCCAAGCCTGAGGAATAAAGTCAGGTGTCAGGCATTTCCCATTATGCGAGTTCTGTTGTTTTTTTTATAATAGAACACTCCATAAAAAATGATATAGCCTGTAGTTGCACATTCTGTCACTAGAGGGCACATTCACACCAGCTGGCACACAAAGTGATTCTAAAGGTTTTTTTTTTTAACCACTTGCCCTCCAGAGGATTTACCCCCCTTCCTGACCAGGACATTTTTTACGATACGGCACTGCATTACTTTAACGGACAATTGCGCTGTTATGCAATGCTGCACCCAAATTAAATTTACGTCTTTTTTCCCCACAAATAGATCTTTCTTTTGGTTGTATTTGATCGCCTGTGCGTTTTTTTATTTTTTTCGCCATAAACAATTTTGAAAAATAAAACAATATTTTTGACTTTTTGCTATTAAACAGGGCTGGTATATACACAATCAACTTGACTTCCCATAGACAAATGAGTTTTGAAACTCAGTTATATTTTGGTTGTAATTTTTTTATTTAAATGTTAAGTTGTTAAATTGAGGCAAGCATAGTTACTGATATCTTTACATAATTCAAGAAGCTGAAGTTTCGGCACGTTTGCATTAATATATCTACAGTGGCTCTGTGTGAGGTTCGGACCTGAGGATTTGTTTATGACAACGTTGTCATTTTATTGGTATGGTGAAGGGAGTGAATTTCTATTAGAGCTGAATGATAATATTTACATGTTTAAAGTATTTGCCCCCTTTCTGATATATTTTTTTTCTTCAGGGACAATGTGTTCACTTGCTGCCTAATATATCCCATATACCAAGAAAAATCCTAGAAAGAAAGCTACCAGGGTAAAAAAAATAGCAATCTTTTCTTCCTAAGTGACTTATAAACAATCAAAATCAAACACAAAGACTGTTTTTACAAATCTAAAAAATATCTGTATTATCACAAAAAGTATGAACTATATGTAGTGTTGTGAAAAAGTATTTGCTCCCTTCCTGATTTTATTTTTTTTGCATTTTTGTCACACTTAAACCATACAGATCATCAAATAAATTTTAATATTACATAAAGATAGCCCGAGTAAATACAAAACGCAGTTTTTAAATGATGATTTAATTTAAGGTAAAAAAGCTGTCCAAACCTGTCTGGCCCTATGTCAAAAAGTAATTGCGCCATCTTTACCCCGTGCTAAATAATAAATTGTTAACCACATTTTTTGGAAAGCTGAGTTAAATTTCACTTGCCACACCCCAGCCTGATTACTGCCAGACCTGTCGAATCAAGAAATCATTTAAATAGAAGCTGTCTGACCAAAGTGAAGCACACTAAAAGATCTAAAAAAGCAACACATTATGCTGCGATCTAAAGAAATTCGAGAACAGATGATAAACAAACTAATTGACATGTATCAGTCTAGAAAGGGTTACAAAGCGATTTCTAAGGCTTTCGGACGCCAGCGAACCACACCATTATCCACAAATGGAGTGTAGCCAGGTTCGGGCTGGGTCATTCTGCAATTCAGGGACATCTGCTGCACAGACTGAGATTTCCTTTCTTCCCCTCTAGTGTTCAGTGCTGAGTAAACACATAATTTCCTGCTGACAGAGTGGGAAGTGTGTCTGAGAAGCAGAGGATCATGGGACCTGTAGTCCCATCACCTAGAGACAACATATTGTTAAAAATTGTCTACACTACATATACCAGAAGGGAAGAAAAAAAAATGAATGGCATCCTGGGGAGGCAGATATAAATCCCTTGCAGCAGCCACACTGGCTCTCTTGGCACAGGGACTTGGAGGCTGACGGAGTGGAGTGTGCCATCTTCCCATTTAAGACAAAACCACGGCTCCACCGTCTACCACAGTAAACCTGCTTGGCAGTACAGCATCACCTAGCACCATGGGACAACTCTCAATGTTCCAGGGACCGCAGTAATCTCCAGAAATTAGATTGGCTGCTGCTGAGCACCCTGCAGGCGTCACTACCCGCTGTCTTGATTGGTTGTCAGGAGGCAATCCTGAGTCACTCCACTCTGCCAGGAGTCTGACCCTCCACAGATTTTGGTTGAGTCATCTCCCAGGGTCTGGTGAACGAGAGCAAGCCCAACATTCTCCCTAACATAGTGTAGACACTGCATGCAGACACCGTTATCCCTCCTCTTTATCTACTTAAAGGCTTCTGTTAGGGAATACCTTTTGATATCGAATTCACTGCTAGTTTCCATTGCACAGTGATACCTTTGGGCCCCACCATAAGCTAGCTGAAGACCAAAGATACATTAACTGCAGGATTCCTGTATTCAAAGGATTCAGTCTACAGAGTTTGTCACTGGCCATCTTTCTTTGTTATGATTGTTGATGTAGCACTTGTTTACTTTAAGGGGGAACTCCTACCCAGGTTTCATAATTGTGCCTTATTGCTTCCTTTGCCTGCGGTGGCAGGACTTAGAGGGAGTTGACTGACTAAAGGTCTCCTCTTTCCCCTCTTGCTCCTGGAAGCATAGGTTTATTTAAAGCGGAGTTCCAGCCAAAAGGGGAAGTTCCACTTTAATGCTTTGTCCCCCGCTTCCCATTAAGGCAGCGGTTCTCAACCTGGGGGTCGAACAACGCTTCCACAGGGGTCGCCTAAGACCATCGGAAAACACATATTTCCGATGGTCTTAGGAACCGAGACACCGCTCCTCGCCGCCGCCACCGCCGTCTCCAGGTGTGGGCGGGATGACATGCCGCCCCTGTCATCTGGACACACCTCGAGATCAATCCTCACCTGTGATTGGCCGCCGGCACTGTAGCTCAGGCACACAGGCGGCCAATCACCGGCAAGGAGGTGGAGCTTGGAGAGGAGGGGCCGAGCGGCACCGCGAAGATCGAGCGAGTGAAGAGGAGGAGAGCGGTCGGAGAAGGAAGACAGCTGACAGGTAAGTGTCGGTACCATGGGAGAGGGAGGGAGCGAGCGAGCCCAGGCTGGAGCAGGGGTCTGCAAGGTAAGTATCACTGGTGTCAGTGGGAATAGTGCCCCATCATTGGTGTCACTAATACCAATGATGGGGCACTATTCCTCCCACTGACACCAATGATGGGGCACTATTCCTCCCACTGACACCAATGATGGGGCACTATTCCTCCCACTGACACCAACGATGGGGCACTATTCCTCCCCCCACTGACACCAACAATGAGGCACGATTCCTCCCCCAAATGACACCAACGATGGGGCACTATTCCTCCCCCCACTGACACCAACAATGAGGCACTATTCCTCCCCCCACTGACACCAAGGATGGGGCACGATTCCTCCCCCCACTGACACCAACGATGGGGCACAATTCCTCCCCCCACTGACCCAACGATGGGGCACAATTCCTCCCCCCACTGACACCAACGATGGGGCACAATTCCTCCCCCCACTGACACCAAGGATGGAGCACAATTCCTCCCCCCACTGACACCAAAGATGGGGCACAATTCCTCCCCCCACTGACACCAAGGATGGGGCACTATTCCTCCCCCCACTGACACCAAGGATGGGGCACTATTCCCCCCACTGACACCTATGATGGGGCACTATTCCTCCCCCCCCACTGACACCAAGGATGGGGCACTATTCCTCCCCCCACTGACACCAATGATGGGGCACTCTTCCCCCCACTGACACCAATGATGGGGCACTATTCCCCCCACTGACACCTATGATGGGGCACTATTCCTCCTCCCACTGACACCTATGATGGGGCACTATTCCTCCTCCCACTGACACCTATGATGGGGCACTATTCCTCCCACTGATACCGATGATGAGGCACTATTCCTCCCACTGATACCAATGATGAGGCACTATTCCTCCCACTGATACCAATGATGAGGCACTATTCCTCCCACTGATACCAATGACGAGGCACTATTCCTCCCACTGATACCAATGACGAGGCACTATTCCTCCCACTGATACCAATGACGGGGCACTATTCCTCCCACTGACACCAATGACGGGGCACTATTCCTCCCACTGACACCAATGACGGGGCACTATTCCTCCCACTGACACCAATGACGGGGCACTATTCCTACCACTGATACCAATGACGGGGCACTATTCCCCCCCCCACTGACACCTATGACGGGGCACTATTCCTCCCCCCACTGACACCTATGACGGGGCACTATTCCTCCCCCCACTGACACCAATGACGGGGCACTATTCCTCCTCCCACTGACACCTATGACGGGGCACTATTCCTCCTCCCACTGATACCAATGATGGGGCACTATTCCTCCCACTGATACCAATGATGAGGCACTATTCCTCCCACTGATACCAATGATGGGGCACTATTCCTCCCACTGACACCAATGATGGGACACTATTCCTCACACTGACACCAATGATGGGGCACTATTCCTCCCACTGATACCAATGATGGGGCACTATTCCTCCTCCCACTGATACCAATGATGGGGCACTATTCCTCCTCCCACTGATACCAATGATGAGGCACTATTCCTCCTCCCACTGATACCAATGATGAGGCACTATTTCTCCCACTGATACCAATGATGGGGCACTATTCCTCCCACTGACACCAATGACGAGGCACTATTCCTCCCACTGACACCAATGACGGGGCACTATTCCTACCACTGATACCAATGACGGGGCACTATTCCTCCCACTGATACCAATGACGGGGCACTATTCCTCCCACTGACACCAATGACGCGGCACTATTCCTCCCACTGACACCAATGACGGGGCACTATTCCTCCCACTGACACCAATGACGGGGCACTATTCCTCCCACTGACACCAATGAATGGGGCACTATTCCTCCCACTGACACCAATGACGGGGCACTATTCCTCCCACTGATACCAATGACGGGGCACTATTCCTCCCACTGATACCAATGACGGGGCACTAGTCCTCCCACTGACACCAATGAAGGGGGCACTATTCCTCCCACTGACACCAATGACGGGGCACTATTCCTCCCACTGACACCAATGACGGGGCACTATTCCTCCCACTGACACCAATGACGGGGCACTATTCCTCCCACTGACACCAATGATGGGGCACTATTCCTCCCACTGACACCAATGACGGGGCACTATTCCTCCTACTGACACCAATGACGGGGCACTATTCCTCCCACTGACACCAATGAAGGGGGCACTATTCCTCCCACTGACACCAATGACGGGGCACTATTCCTCCCACTGATACCAATGATGGGGCACTATTCCTCCCACTGACACCAATGACGTGGCACTATTCCTCCTACTGCAAAATTACAGTTATGAAGTAGCAACGAAAATAATTTTATGGTTGGGGGTCACCACAACATGAGGAACTGTATTAAGGGGTCGCGGCGTTAGAAAGGTTGAGAACCACTGCATTAAGGATTAGCACTTTTGGGGAGTGGGGGGGGCGGGTACCTGAGTTTGACAGGTACCCGCTCCCACTTTCGATGCGATCGCCTAGGTCAGGGGTAGGCGACCTGCGGCTCTCCAGCTGTTGCAGAACTACAAGTTCCATCATGCCTCTGCAAGTCATGGCTGTAACTGTCAGTTTTGTAATGTTGCAATGCCTCATGGGAAATGTAGTTCCACAACAGCTAGAGAGCCGCAGGTTGCCTACCCCTGGCCTATGCGATCACAAGCAGACGTTGTTCCCCCCCCCCTCCCTCCCTGTAGTCTTCTGGGACATGTGAAAGGTCCCAGAAGACTACGGGGCCATTCATAAAGCGCAGCACTTCTCGCACATGTGCAGTGGGCACCCGGCTGTGAAGCTGCAAGCTGTCACAGATGGGTGCCCACACTAAAGATGCTGGTACCGGTAATCTCTGGTAAAATATTTTCTTGTAAAGCTATTCTTTGGCGAGTCTCTTGCATTTGTGTTTGCAGTATTCCAATTCTACCAGGTGTGTCAGGGTGGTCTGGGATTCTTCTTGGAGTTGAGGTGAAGAACAGAGAACCCAAAATCACCATCGGGGGCGGTGGTATAGGAGAAAACCTGAAACAGTGGTGAACGTTCCCAGGAGTGGCCAGCCTAATAAAATTATTCCCAAGAGCACGACTATGACTCATCCAGGAGGTCATAAAAGTACCCAAGACAACATTTAAAGAACTTCTGGCCTCACCTGCTTCAGTTAAGGTCAGTGTTTGTGATTCAACAATAAGAAAGTGAGTGGGCAAAAATGACATCCATGAGAGAGTTCTAAGGCGAAAGTCACTGCTGACCAAAAAGAATACAAAGGCTCATTTCACGTTTGCAAAAAAAATCTTGATTATCCTCAAGACTTTTGGGTAAATATTCTGTGGACTAATGAGACAAAACTTGAACTTTTTTGAAAGGTGTACATCCGTTACATCTGGCATAAAACTAACACAACATTTCATAGAAAAACATACCACCAATCAAACATAGTGGTGGTAGTGTGATGGCCTGGGGCTGCTTTGCAGCTTCAAGAACTTGACGACTTGCCATAATTGATGGAACTATGAATTCTGCGCTCTATCTGAAAATCCTGCTGGTGAATATCCGGCCATCAGTTTGCAACCTCAAGCACACTTGGGTTATGCAGCAGAACAATCATCTGAAACACACTAGGAAGTCCACCTCTGAATGGCTAAAAAAAAACTAAAAAAAAAAAGCCAAAGTCCGGACTTAAATCAGATTGAGATACTGTGGCATGACCTTAAACAGGCTGTTGATTCTTGAAAACCCTCCAATGTGGCTGAATTAAAACAATTCTACAAATAACAGTGGGCCAAAATTCTTCCACAGCGGTGTGAAACACTCATTGCCAGTTATTGAAAACGCTTGATTGCAGTTGTTGCCGCCAAGGGTGGCACAACCCGTTATTAGGTTTACTTTTTCACACAGGGCCAGGCAGGTTGGGAAGCTTTTTTCCCTGAATAAATGAAATCATCATTTAAAAACTGCATTTTGCATTTTTTTAGGTTATCTTTGTGTAATATTAAAATTTGCTTGATGATCTAAATCACTTAAGTGTAACAAATATGCAAAAAAAATAAAAAATCAGGAAGAGAGCAAATTCTTTTTCACAGCACTGTATATAGTTAATACTTTTTGTGATAATAAAGATATTTGAAGATTTGTAAAAAACAGCCTTTGTGTTTGATTTTGACTGGTTATAAGCTACTTAGGTGGAAAAGATTGCCTTTTTTTGGCATATGGGATATATTAGGTAGCAAGTGAAAATATTGTCCCTGAAGTAGATGTGTTGAAAGCAGAAAAAATGGTCAGGCATAAGGATCTGAATGACTTTGACAAGGGCCAGATTGTAATGGTTAAACAACTGGATCAGAGCAAATCCAAAGCTGCAGCTCTTGCTGGATGTTCCTGGTCTGCAGTGGTCAGGAATTACCAAAAGTGGGCAAGGAAGGAAAATCAACAATCCAGGGACAGGGTCATGGGCAACCAAGGTTCACTGATACACATGGGGAGTGAAGACTGGCATATGTAGTCCAATACAATAGAAGAGCTCCTGTAGATCAAATTACTGAAAAATGCTGGTTCCAATAGAAAGGTGTCAGAACACACAGTACAAGTGTATAATCCAAATGCACACAATCCTGCATTAAAAATGGCTGTGTGTATAAGTGGGTGCTGCAGTGACCATACAGTACATCACAGTTTGTTGCGTATGGGGCTGCATAGCCACAGATGGATCAGGGTGCCCTTGCTGACCTATGTTCACAGCCAAAAGCACCTACAATAGGCACATGAGCATCAGATGTGGACCACGAGCAATGGAGAAGGTGGCCTGATCTGATGACTTCTAATGAATAATGAGTTTAAAGCATCGACTAGGCCTCCAAATTCTTCAAATCTCAAACCAATCAAGCATCTGTGGGATGTGCTGGAAAAACAAGTCCAATCTATGGAGGACCTGCCTCATAACTTACAGGACCCAAAGGATCTGCTACTAACAGTTTGGCGCTGGATACCACAGCATTCCTTCAGAGGTCTAGTGGAGTCCAGGCTTCGATTGGTTATGGTGGCTGGTCATAATGCTGATCGAAGTACCGTATATTTCTAAAGCATGCAATTAGCTGTTTGCCTGGAGTTCTACTTTAAATTCTTTAAATGTGTACTGCTTAAACAGAGTGTGTGTTTTTCTCAGAAATCTTGTTTTTCTGAAATGAATTGTGGGCTGTGGCTGCTTTACATGCAAACGGTGCTTAACGGGGCCCTTCAGTGCTCCCATACGGTCTGCTAGAATAAAAACACTTAACCCGGTAAGTGATGTAAAATAGATGTTTATTTTTAAAGAGCAGTTAGCTTTTGGTAATGTTATGTTGTTGGACTTCTGCCTGCGGTGTTCTTCTTCCTCTGAGCACCGTAAACATAGAAACAGTCTGTAAACATGCTGACACACCATACGATTGTCTCATTGTTCAAAATGACCTACGTCAGTATGGTATTAAACAATATTTAATTAAGCATCAAAAGCACAGCAAGTACAAATGACATTATGTTAAGACTAATCAAGGGAGAACATTTCCTTACACTATGTACCACAACTACTGTATTTTATTGTGTTATAAAAGCCTTTGTCAATACTGAAAAGACTGGCTTTAGCTATCAGATCACATGTGATCCAGGCGACCAGATGCTAGACAGACATTTGTAAGTACTGATAAGAAACAGGATATAGAAA